TGGGTGCGCCAGTGACTTATGGCAATGCATGCTTTTCAACATAACAAAACATATACCTTTATAATAATACATACGAATATACACAAATATACCTTTATAATAATACATACGAATATACACAATAATATATATATATATATATATATATATATATATATATATATATATATATATATATATATATATATATATATATATATATATATATATATATGCATATATGCATATATGCATATGCCAAGGTTAATTAAATTACACTTATAAGGAAGTAACTCGTATTTTGTTAATTCGTACCACCAAGCCACCCATGCAGCTAGATGGCGTCAAACCTGAAAATCGAATGACATATGCAGACACACGCGGGACATCATCGTAAAACACGCGGGATTAATATACGAAATGATTAGTATGCGTTCTTCTTCGTCGAACGCGATTACCTGCGTAGTCGACATGTATATTACCATAAATGCTCCTAATCGTTACCTATTATTCAAATATTATTATAAAAATCGACTCAGCTTTGCAAGTTATTGCTGTAGTTCATCATGTTCATTTTTTGGTTTCTTTAAAATGAGAAACTTTAAAGGTAATTTCTCTCGAACCAAAACGAAAGTACCTTGCGCAGATTAAATGTATATTATTTATAAATCTTTGGTTTGACTATCATTTTACAATTTAGGCATATACAATTTGTTTTTGATAATGTCAAGTTTTGCACGAATTTTATGATCGTCAAGAAACGTTTACAAAACTGGTAAGGTAATTGGTAATAGCAAAACATGTATGGATAGGTCTTGAGTTTCTTTACATTATACTAATTATTAATTTCAGCCGTTCAACCGTAACGTTTTTGCTTTAATATTCAATAAATTTCGTATTTTCTCTTTACAAGAACAACAATTTTACTGGTTTTATGTTCTAGTGTTTCTTTGTTTTTCCGAACAGCAGGAACCTAAATGTAATCTTTCCCACAAATAAAATGATATTCTATAAATAAAAGCTTCGGTAAAACAAACTTCATTTTACCGTATTTACAAGAAAATTAATTTTCAAGGTGATAAACTTTTGTGCCCTGAGTGTCGGAGGCTTTTTCTACGCTCGACAAAAAATAGAGCTTGCAGAAATGAACCTCGTAGAGCTAGAACCGTTTTTGAGTTTTCGAAACATTTTACCGAACGATAAAGTAAATTTTATAATTATGCTAAATTCAAGTTGGTTGGTACGCTAAGATGTCAAAATAACCAACACAATAAAACCGTAAAACTGTAGATTTTGGAATTATCTTTATATTTTTGGCCATCAGTACAAAAATATAGTTTTAATGTTAGCAAATGTTATGCCATGGGCACATGTCGAATGTTGACACAATGTTGTGGCGTTACGATATTCTGTAAAAAAAAGGCGAGGGGTTGTGGCATGCATTCATTTCCAGTCAAAATTTAATTTGCTGAAATTTTAAAGAAAAAAACGCCGTACCGAGTTACAGCGAACTTAAGATGAGCAAAATCTAGTACGGGGACGCGACAAAAAGATAGTTACACTTATGCTTTTCTTTCTGATTTGTTACCTGTTTTTTCACCATTGCAGTTCTTTGTTAATTTAATTGTTAACAAAAATAATCCATATATTTTACAGATTACCTTTCTGAAAATCGCTTTGTGAGAAAGCTTCCTAAAATATATAAATATTAATTTTAAAAAAATCTGCGAATTTAGGATGTGTTAATTATTCCATAGTTACTTGTACCCTCCGTGTACTAGACTATACATCTTAAGCTCGCTAATATATGAAACACCGCATCTGAAAAACGACCAAGTGACCTTTCATGTGATTTGATGTAAAAGTTTTGTGAATATGTCATAACCTTAGTCATCGTATGTTTAATATCGATTCTGTATTCCTTGTTTGTAATCACGCAATTCTTTTCATCCAAATGACGGGCAATCAAACAACTTGTGGACGATTTTTCTCCTCAGCAAAATGGTTGTATAGCAAGAAACTGTGTAATTAATTTTTTTTTAGTCTTCTAAACTCGATCAAGACATTAAAAAGCCGTTTTTTGTTATACCCGCCCGTCAGCAGTAATCCCAAAATGACGTCATTGCAAACAAAGAATTATTTCATCATCACTGTTGTAGATCTTATTTCTATGTTTGTACGTACTGTATTGAAAAGGTGCATGTAAGGCACCTTATCCATCTTAATTCTTCTTTGTTTGTAACGTTATTTGTATTTGTGTTTGTCTTTAAATTGCATTCTTTTCCAATAAAGTTTGCAATACTTCCCTGCCCAGGGGAACTTATCAAAGCTAATATCCTTTATCCCAAGAACGAAAAGAAATCTAAATATGATCTTGTAATTTATTTGAATATGACGTTTCCTCAATTTTGGATAAACATTCTAAGGATAAGCATTCTAAGGATAGCAAATATGAATTTAAGAACTGCCTGTAGAATAATGTGTAATTCACAACTTACATTAATATATTACGATTGGAACTGTCAAAGGAACAGACAATAGATCCATTTAATAGTCGACGCAAATCATATATTATTAACACAATTTGGTTGTAAAGGAAGTTCATTTATAATAAACATGTTTTAAAAATATGTGCGTGTGTTTGTTATCATTGGCCCAAAAATACTCGTAGATGCACTAGATGCTAATTTAAGCTCGCCCCATTCCTCTGGAAATAACTGGAATTTAATTATCACACACCTCGAGGAACGGGGCAAGCTTATTTAAAAATTTACATTTTCAAATGTCAATATTTAAATAAAGTTCGCCAAAGTGAGGTTGCGTGCATGGGTGTATCTTTAGGGAAGAGCTAGGGCAGGGGGCATTTTGTCCGTATCACGTTACTGACCTATGTAGTACTGGATGGATTTCACTCTTCACCATCGTACAATACATATGGTGGTCGATAGCTTCCGTAGCGACTTGAAAAATTTATCCGTTTCTTTTAGGAACGCTATTTTCAGAGTAATTGTTGCAACCGAGAGATGTTTCGTTCAGCTTCCGAAAGTTCTACATTCCGTGTCGGATAGCTAGCTGCTTTTTCGCGCCGCTACGGAAAATTATCCGGTTATGATCGTATGTACCTAATTAAATTCAGTATTACAGTGTTGCAAATATTGAAATATATCTAGTAATGCTTTAAATATAAAGTATGGTTTGTACAGAGAGGCTTTTCAAAGTAATATCGTGCTGCAAATCATTGTCGACTTCCAGCTATCGGAATAGGGAAGTAATGTTAACTTCCATGCATTCTATGTAGTGTATTTCTTGTTATTAAATTGAAACAATGATAGTCTTCCATTTCTTGTCAAGTGTCGTTCTAAGCTTTGTTACTGGCAAAATTGAAGAGCATAATTAGATGAGTCACACAGTACACAATCATATTTTATAAATACACTGATACACATGTGCAGTATGCATACTGTACGTCACAAGTAGGGGGGGAGTACGTTACAAGCCCTAACATTCTATGCGCATGGCCAGCGAGCTAGACTGCCGCCCCCTTTCCCGTCAATTTTGGTCCAGGCTCCAGCTCCCTTGCCATTTCCACCAAAATCCTCTCTTGATGTTTAATGCCCTCCCCTAGAAAGCGTCGTTAACACGCATATTTCATATCGTCTTCCAGCATAAACAGCAATATTTTACGGCTTGCAAACTGGTACAGCTGCAGAAGAGTTCGCTGGACAATTAGCCAAAGATGCAGCAAAATATGGAATGAAAGTATGGATCTATGTTTGATTCTGAGGAATTTTAAATGGTTTGTAATAGCTCATTTTCCATCTACGAATAAAATCTTTACCGGCACTGCACTTAATATAAGCTGCCGTGGTTTGTGTCTGAACTACCTGAAAACGATATCTCAAACGTGGTGGTCCAGTGTAAGTAGTATATATAGTCTACAATAAGCTGTCGTGGTTTGTGTCTGAATCATGCACTTGCAAAAAGTGTCTTAAACTTACAGAAAGAAACCCAAATGTTGTTAGAGAAGATCTCGTAGTTTAAGAAGATTATTATTGTTGCTTGAACAACCTTTCGTTCACAATTATACTGTAATCTATCACTAGAAAAATGTGATTTTGCTAAATTGTGCACTGTGACTTACTTCAACACGTCCAAATCATCTCGCCTCGTATCTCGTCCCGGCAAAGCGGTTTATGTAAACAGCTCCTAATTAACCCGGGATGTACAAATCGTCGCGTCCCGGCAAACGTCCTGTCCCGCCTCTCGTATAAACAGCCCCTATAAACATGGTTCAAATTAGCCACTTAACAGAGAACATTCGTAATCAAAACGTTTTACAAAACAAATACTTTGCAGTCATAAACAGTCATGCAATTTGCATTTTTATTAATAAGCCGCGGCTTATTTATAGGCCGCGGTTCATTTTCGCTCGTATAAATGGCCCTAATTTGTTCGTAAGCCGCGGCTAAAATAAGCCCATGCAGAGATGATACTTTTTTTAATTGAGGGAACGAATGAGTTAAGTGGAGGTAATTAGCAAGTTCTAGACGTGGAAAACTTTTTTCCAGTATAGTCCAGTACATCATCCTGGTTTTTGTGTGAAATACCTGAAAAAGATATCTCAAACGTGGTGGTCCAGTGTAGGTACAGTATTCTACAATAAGTTGCCGTGTTTCGTGTCTGAACTACCTGAAAAAGATATCTCAAACGTGGTGGTCCAGTGTAGGTAGTATTCTACAATAAGCTGTCGTGGTTTGTGTCTGAACTGCCTGAAAAGATATCTCAAACGTGGTGGTCCAGTGCATGTAGGTAGTATTCTACAATAAGCTGTCGTGGTTTGTGTCTGAACTACCTGAAAAAGATATCTCAAACATGGTGGTCCAGTCCACACCTTATTGGAGAATACTACCTACACTGGACCACCACGTTTGAGATATCTTTTTCAGGCAGTTCAGACACAAACCACGACAGCTTATTGCAGAATACTACCTACACTGGACCCGGCACCACGTTTGAGATCACTTGTCAGGTAGTTTTGATACAAACCACAGCAGTTTATTGTAGAAAAGTACTCAAAGAATCTTGACTTATCTTGTTTATTTGTTTATAGGCGGAACGGAAATGGAAGAATATCGATCGAGGTTTTTTTGAATCCAGAATTTTCCAATTTATTTTATGAGCAAACACAGAAAATAATTACGTGCGACTATTGTTTTGCTTCCCACGCTCTTTACTCCTTTCTAAGCTTGTGATAGGTTACAGCCAAATTGATTTCTTTGAAAGATCAACTTTATTAAGAATTTTCCAACCTGAGAAGATCTGAATGCAAATATTGATTATAAAATCGGCATTTCTGTGCAGTCCCCACAGACGAAAGTAGGCACTTGTCTGAGACGGTGCTTTTTGGCAATCGTTTATATTTTGAAAAAGAAATCCTAATTGCATGTGATGCAGCCGCGGAAAATGCTTATTAGAATTGCATTTTGTGTGCTAATGTGGAGTGCGTCTCAAGTGCAGGTTTTAGGTTGGATACAACCATCGCCTTCGTTCACAGCAGCCCTAACGGGTAAGTTTTTGGTTAAGCTTTGTGTTGTAGGCGTATCCTGGTACCTCCGGATAAGGTCTACAAATACTGGTTTCCTAAAATGGTAAAGCTAGACGACAGGGTCCATAGCGGTTTTTGAAATCCTTGAAAAGGTCTTTGAAAAACCTTTGAATTGTATGAAAAAGCAAAGAAGTTATTAAAAGTTTGAAAATTCTTTAAACTACCAGGTGTCCGGTGGACTGCAGTTACATTTTCAAAAACATCGAACAGTAGGCGCATTTTAAAATGTGTTTCGGCGGGACAAATTACCGAACAGAAATTACTCAGGATAAAAAATGTCCGATTGCATGCCCTCAAAAGTCTTTGAAAAGTCTTGAGCAAAACATTTTATGCGTTAGATTACGGACCCTGTTTTGCAAGTCAAACAAGCGCGTTAAAAACGGGACCTTGCCAAACTCTGAAAACCGTGTGTCAACAAGGAACTTTCGTTTTTGTGCTCGTATCAACGGGCGATAAATTGTTTACAGTTAAAGTGTGAGCAGGAACAAGCCGGTTTTGTATAAGCAAAACACACAAAAGAAAGCAATTCAGATTTATTCCTGAGCTCCGCGCCCCAATGTTAGGGAATTTAAGATCTTGACGACGAACTACCGACTAACGTAATACACATTGATCCCAAATATGTTAATTTGATTTTCATCACTATTTCTTTTATATAAAAATACTCTCCAACCTGCAACGTTGCGTAGTCAGTTTCGGTGCTATCTTCTTGATTCTGTTTTACAACACAAGAATGTGATTTTTACGCTGTAGTCAAGGTCGCTACGGTGAAAAGTATGCTCTGGGGATATGTAAATTTTGTCTGCCTCTGTTAAAGCAATGTGAAAACAAGCTTTCAACCGCACTCCATACCCGTTGTTCGTTGTCGGCATCTTAAAATCCCTAATGATTAACATCCGACGGCCTAGCTTCTGCTTAATTATTTTCATTGTTCTTCCCATGCCTGCCCAACCTGTTTTCAAATTATTCCAATTATATATGTTCATTCCAATTAAAATTAGAACAAAGCAGAATCGAATTCCAGTCGGCGTTGGATTATCATTTAACGCAAACAAATATTTTAAAAATTAATTGATTTATTCTTATAGCAAGTCAAACTAGTACATCAATTCAACCTTCGTCAACAGGTGAGTGTAATGTATAAAAATCTTTTAATTAATTTCTTGTGTGGTATTTGATGAACTTTGTCGTTGTCTTCGCGCCGTTCTCTTGTCTGCTTGTACTGTAAACCTATTGTTGTAAAGTAAGACATTCTGGCCCTTCCACAATACTCAGATCTTCTCTTACAGAATCCATCTGTTCGTCAATTATCCCGTTTACTTTCTTGCTTTACAATGTTTCCGAACGTCTCTCTTTCATCCTGTCTAATTGCACTGAAATCGACCGCTTAGATTCTTAATTCCTATCATGTTCTCTCCCTTGACGTATCATTTGTCAGTTCCTTGATTTGTCAGTTCCTTCGTTTACGCATGTGGTCCACTTCTTCTTCAGTTTACACCGTCACGTGTCTCCATCTGAATCTCCAAATCCAAATTTCCAGCCTGGATCGCTCATCTGTCCGTATTACGTATCAACACTTTCTTTAATGTCAATGTCAATGTCAATGTCAATGACGACCTTCCCTGCAATATCTTTTACGACATATTACGGACTATACAAACTGGACAATGTAATACTGATTTTACAGGCCTTTACATTATATAAAACTTGCAAGGCAAGAATGATTACATAACTGCACTACTGTGAAATTATTTGTGCGGTTCAGCTTTGCCCCCCACCACAATCAGCACCACTGTTAGAAACCACTAACCACTTACATGCAAACCAGATCAGCGTTAGTGATAGAGATAATGGAATCAAAAGTGACTCCCTCCATTTTACACCAGACTTTAGTTATTACTACAGGTAATATTTTACAGTAAACATGCAAGAATAAACACTATACGCTATCAAAATTATTTGCGAGTCCAGATTTGACCATCAAACACCATCATCATTAGTTTGCCGTTTGCAGTTGACTTTTGTCGTCGATATTCCTATCCCAGGATTATTTTTTTACTGCAATTAGAAAAGTTCGTGCTTCATGAATAAACAAGCCATGCCAGTTTATGTACAGACCTCTTTCCTTGTTTAAGTTTTTTGGCAGGCAAACGTTTTTTAAAAGCATTTTTGAACGACAGGGGGTGCAAAACAAACGAGAGCTTTAGAAATCAAACTGTTGTTGGAATTTGAATGTATAGCACTACACTGCACTCACGGGCAGGGCCGTATAGCGAAGGGGTATTGGGGGGGGGGGATTAACTCCCCCCAACTTTTTTAGAATTAACATATTCGGAAAATCGGGTTGGCCATTCAGAAAATTACGGCATTAATAGTATAACGAAATTTTAGTTGTTAAACAGAGATTCAGAGAAACGAAAGTATTATAGAATTGTATTGTCAGTATAATCTGATTTACGAAACATGGCATTTACACGAATAACAATTCACAAATCGTGAATCAGTAAACGGTTTTCGGTTTATTACTCATGTAATATATATATGCGTAGACTATGCGTATTTTTTATTGTATTTGGTCAATAATTGAGGACTCAATTCTCTCAAGAAACTCATATAGAAATTTTAAATCTGATAATTTTTATCAGTGACAGTCGCACGGAACTCTCACAGCTCAAGAAAACCCCATGAATAGAATTGAACTATAATAGTGAAGAAAACCTATTGCTTTCAGATTTATCAGAATCTTGCGCAACCACGCATTTTATGTTAATTTTATTCAGCAACACAAACTGTTTGTCAATACTGGCAATTCAGATGTGCCAATGGGTACCAATGTGTGAATCGATATTATAAATGTGATGGATGGATTCATTGCTCTGATGGCAGTGATGAATGGTATTGGAACTGTGGTATGTATTCATACTAACATCTGAAAAAAATATCCCTGAATATTCCCTCACAAATTCTAAATTAACAACTTTCTCCAGATGGCATTTAATGTACCTGTATGCTTAATGAGGATTTTGGCCCTAAATTAACAACTTTCTCCAGATGGCATTTAATGTACCTGTATGCTTAATAAGGATTTTGGCCATCCATATCTCAGTAACCACGGATTGAATTCATATATATTCGATTGAACAGGGCCTGCGACCCCTGTCAATTCAAATGATAGCTAGCATAAACCATGAGAACATGTAACGTATTATTTTATGATTTTTTTAGGATATTCTTCTATTAGTTCTATAAAACCTTCTTCTACTGCCAATGTACAAGGTGAATAAAATATTTGTATGTGTTTGTTGTATGCCTATAAGTGCTTAACTCAGCAAGAGTGTGAACAAATATTTAGAATGAATAGTAGAGGATTTACTGCATCTCTTTACTCTTTACTCTTTACTCTTTACTCTTTACTCTTTACTCTTTACTCTGTATTAGACTATAGCTTCTAACGGACAAACGCGAAATAATAATTTAAAGGTTTTCTATTTAAGAAAGGGGTAAACTTTTCTCTCAATATAGTTTCATCATCATCACAGAGTTCTTGTCAATATTGGTATGAATTCAGATGTAACAATGGTTACCAATGTGTGCATCAGTATTATGTTTGTGATGGACGGAATCGTTGCTATGATGGTAGTGATGAATGGAACTGTGGTATGTATTCATACTAACATTTGAAAAAGATCCTCCTGAATATTCTCTCATAAATTCTAAATTAACAACTTTTTCCAGATGGCATTTAATGTACCTGTATGCTTAATTAAATGAGGATTGTGGCCATCCATATCTCAGTAACCACGGATTGAATTAATATATATTCGATTGAACAGGGCCTGCGGCCCCTGTTAATTCAAATGATAGCTAGCATAAACCATGAGAACATGTAACGTATTATTTTATGATTTTTTTAGGATATTCTTCTATTAGTTCTATAAAACCTTCTTCTACTGCCAATGTACAAGGTGAATAAAATATTTGTATGTGTTTGTTGTATGCCTATAAGTGCTTAACTAAGCAAGAGTGTGAACAAATATTTAGAATGAATAGTAGAGGATTTACTGCATCTCTTTACTCTTTACTCTTTACTCTTTACTTTGTATTAGACTATAGCTTCTAACGGACAAACGCGAAATAATAATTAAAAGGTTTTCTATTTAAGGAAGGAGTAAACGTTTCTCTCAATATAGTTTCATCATCATCACAGAGTCCTTGTCAATATTATGAATTCAGATGTAACAATGGTTACCAATGTGTGCATCAGTATTATGTTTGTGATGGACGGAATCGTTGCTATGATGGTAGTGATGAATGGAACTGTGGTATGTATTCATACTAACATTTGAAAAAGATTCTCCTGAATATTTTCTCACAAATTCTAAATTAACAACTTTCTCCACGTGGCATTATTAGCCTGTACAGTACATGTATATGGGTCATGAGGATCGGAGTCGTCCATCTCTCAGTGACCATGCATAAAATTCATAAATATTCGATCAAACAGGGCCAGAGCAATTGACTTTTTAATAGTTGGGATCTTGTTGATTTAAACAGTAGCATAAACTATGAATATATAACGTATTATTTAATGATTTTTCAGGATATTCTTCTATAAGTCCTTCTTCTACTGTAAGTATACAAGGTAAATAAAATATTTGTATATGTTTGTTGTTTACTTCATTTTGCAAGACCGTGAAGGAATATTTAGAATGAATATAGTAGAGGATTTACTGTGTATTAGACTAACGACAGACTAGTGAATTATAGCTTCTAATGGACAAACACGAAATAATAATTTGAAGGTTAAGAAAGAAGTAAACTTTTCTCTCAATATAGTTTCATCATCATCACAGAGTGCTTGTCAGTATTATGAATTCAGATGTAACAATGGTTACCAATGTGTGCATCAGTATTATGTATGTGATGGACGGACTCATTGCTATGATGGCAGTGATGAATGGTATTGGAACTGTGGTATGTATTTACGATATAATTTTGAACGAAAAAACATGTGAGCATAAAATGTGGTTTGTCTGTGTAGAATGGAATGAAATGGAATGTGTGATGGGCAGCCTAGGCCCAGTCGTTCTGAAGCAAGCGCGAGAAAAAAGTGGATGTAGTACGAGACTGGAACCTAGGTGTGACGTCACCGCCCGTGGTGCTTCAGAACGCCTAGCAGATTTCAGTATTTTTAATATGGCGGAAAATTTATAGATACAAGTAACCTTTTAATTATAAATACGACAATGTTCGTTCATCATGTACATGTTCGATGTCTACATAACCAAATCAAACTGTATTAAAAATGTGCTCAACTAAAAAAATTTATATACAAATTTACGATACCGATTTGAGCAATCGTTGATGTTATTTATGTACTCGCAAGTTGTGATCAACACTAGACCATACTGGTATACACAACTACGCTTTCTACTTGACAGGTTTAAATTGCTGAGGAGATTCGAAATATTTGCCTGACATGACGGTGTTGTCAAAACATTCTTAGCCGGAGATTCGGCATAATTTTCAAGCTTCTAGATAGCATTTAATATGGCTATACATTTTAGTAAACACGAGTCATATTTAATTTAATTCATTGTTCCGACAGCATTAAATAAAAAAATAGAAAATATTATTATTCTTATTATTAGAGCAAAACTAATGACTTAATTTTAAATGCAAAGGAAATTTACATAACATTTTCCATTTACAAATGAGGTATGCTTGGTAACCAGGCCAGGGACCACTTTTTTGAAATCAGGGACCATTTTACCGAAATCTGCTAGGCTCTCTCGCTGAAGCGTTCCGCACAGCACACCCAGGCATAAAACTTTTAAGACTTATTTAAATATATCAAAGCAGCGAATAGAGAGAGAGCCTGGGACTAGGCTGTGTGATGGGTTATAGTTAGGGTTATAACTGTCTTCCCGAAAATGCTCCCATATGCTTGCTATTCCGCACGTTCATTCCGCCTTTTGCAATTACCGCAGAGAAACTTACTCATTTAACACAAAAGATATTTTAAAAATTAATTGATTTATTCTTATAGCAAGTCAAACTAGTACATCAATTCAACCTTCGTCAACAGGTGAGTGTAATGTATAAAAATCTTTTAATTAATTTCTTGTGTGGTATTTGATGAACTTTGTCGTTGTCTTCGCGCCGTTCTCTTGTTTGCTTGTACTGTAAACCTATTGTTGTAAAGTAAGACATTCTGGCTCTTCCACAGTATTCAGATCTTCTCTTACAAAATCCATCTGTTCGTCAATTATCCCGTTTACTTTCTTGCTTTATAATGTTTCCGAACGTCCCTCTTTCGTCCTGTCTAATTGCACTGAAATCGACCGCTTAGATTCTTAATTCCTATCATGTTCTCTCCCTTGACGTATCATTTGTCAGTTCCTTGATTTGTCAGTTCCTTGATTTGTCAGTTCCTTCGTTTACGCATGTGGTCCATCTTCTTCTTCAGTTTACACCGTCGCCTGTCTCCATCTGAATCTCCAAATCCAAATTTCCAGTCTCGCTCATCTGTCCGTAATACGTATCCATACTTTCTTTAATGTCAATGTCAATGTCAATGTCAATGTCAATGTCAATGTCAATGTCAATGTCAATGTCAATGTCAATGTCAATGACCTTCCCTGCAATATCTTTTCCTAAACCTATCTTTTGATCTCTTCATTCCATAACGATCTCTGACCAGCTTCTTTTTATCTCTTCGTATAATGTGCCTATGCTATCGCATCCTTGACTTTCTCTGCAATGCCTACCACTCCACATGTCAGTCTAATCTCTTCACTCTCACATCTTGTTCTTCCGCAAAATTTCTAAGATCCATTTCAAAACTTGCATCCCAGTCTTCTCATTAGATCTTCTTTGTTTTACCAGTGGCGTGCTGGGTACTATTTTTCTGGGGGGGCCAGTGGGCTGTCAACAAATATGCGCCCCTATGTTTCGCTTGATAAACGAGGGCCGAAGGCACGAGCCGAGCGCCGTAGGTGCGAGGTTTGTCTAGGGGGGTCCGGGGGCATCCCTCCGGGAAAATTTTTGAATTTAGAGTCTCTGAAATGCCATTTCCTGGACTTTGGGGGGACGATTTGACAGAAATCTGATGGTCAGGAAACGGCACTATAACGTGTCGAAATTTGCAATTTGTTTGAATTTATTAGTAGTAGTACTTATATCATGCAATGCTAACAACTTCCAGCGATTAATCTAATCCCAATTCTATTCTTTACTGATCTGGTCATCTGAATACATTTACAACATACAGCTCTTTTATACAATAGCACACGGACCCCACGCATATGCATTTTAAGGTTTCCCTGCCTGGCTGCCAAAAGGGCGCGTTTCAGCTTATTTCATTACTCACATTACTCATGATGTTTCTAGCGCAAACAACTAAATTGCGTACACAACTTTACATTATCATAACTTAAACTATCTAATTTGCGCCGCTCTCGCGATTAGTGAAGCATAATAAAGGTTATAATACCAGCAAAAAAGGGCATGATTCCCGTGATCGCTTCGAAACCTGACCAATATTCCGGTGAGGAGACATTGCGTGTGATCACAGTTCATGTTTCTATATGAACGATTTCGTGTGAGCCGTGAGGTATAGCAAATTAGCAAATACGGTTAGACAAAATAGTCTGCATGTATAGTATAATTTAATATATCACTTTGTCGCCTATGCGCTTAGTCTGTTTATAAGCCTATAAACACATCTTTTCTCGGCGCCGAAAGTAACTATATTTTTTCGAATGCGTTTTTTCCCACCCACTTTCAAAAGTCGGCGCGGGATCGGCGCCCCCTTTTCATTTTTGCGCCCTGCAAGAATTGCCAGCTGGGGGGGCCGTGGCCCCCCGGCCCCCCCCCCCTGCCAGCACGCCACTGTGTTTTACAATATCATCCAGTATTCAGATTTGTCACACAATTATTGCTTTTCAGCTTTGACAGTTAGAAATTGTCAAAATTATCAGCTCATTCTTAACAAATGATGAAATTATCTTGTACAAACCCCAGCTTGAATTCATGTTGTACCTTAATTTCCACGTGCATGCATGTTTTCCTTTATAGCACAATCTTGGGCGGTGACACCATCAAGACAGTATTGCTACCACTGGGAGTTCCAATGTAGAAATGGTCAATGTATTAATCGACACTATTTGTGTAATGGTGGCTATGACTGTTATGATGGAAGTGACGAAGACTGGCTTAACTGTCCAAGAAAAAGTTTGTTTTTATCCCTTTGGCGTTTTTGTGCCATTTAACTGTCGTTGGCTGCTCCAGGGTTTTAGCCAGAGCGTCAAAACTGGCCGTCTAAAGCCCATTTTTGTGGACTGGTCAAGTGTCATATACTTCAGCGTCTTTTCGACAAACCCTATCGAAATATTATACAATAAATAAATTAAACAGCAACCGACAACTTTTGAAATACTCACGAAATATCCCTATTGAATAATAATATTGAGAATTGCTCTTTAAAGAAAAAAATTATTAGCCGGAAGTATATCATAATTTGATATATCTAATATTCTATTGTTGAATTCGCCTTTATTTCGTTCTCTTCAAGCTTTTCCCGAAAATTTATATTCTCGGATCATGAAATTTGACTGCTTCGGCAGCCGTATTTATATTAGCCGGACGAATTAAACGTCTTGTGCTAAGTGCGAATAATATATAAATACGAAAGGAACTAGTATAGAATGAAACCAAGAAAATATAAAATGTTTTAATTTGACAACTATTTGTACAGTTTCCTTGCTAACTGCGTCCAAGTTTATAGTCGTCTCGTATTTACAATATACTAAACGAATTAAACGTCTAAGACGATTAAGTCACCTGTTTATGTGCGTCGTTTGGACGCACTTGACAGGCGACGTTATTTTTTATTCGTCCGTCTTATATTAGACGACTTTAACTTCTCAGACGCGGTTAAGTCGTCTCAGACATTAAAGCCGTCTTCTAATATAAATACGATGGTGGCAGTACACTATAATATCCATTACATAACCTTCACTATATTGGTGCGCGAAATATGCATGAACGAGTACCAAAAATTGTATGTAGTGGTGTTTTATTAGGTGGCAAACATATTAATTAAAGATTTTCTTCGATATTTGTATATATCTTATAAATGAACATATATGGAAGAAACGAGCCTCGAACCGAGTTTACCGTAGATTGGATTAACAAACCATGCATGGTCACAGGTTTGATTCACTCACCGCGGTTGAGCCATTTTTGAGCTTACCGAGTGTGGTGGAACTCATGACAGCATCATCTAAAATAATATTTTTGTTATTTGCAGCTAATTTGACCATATGCCAGCAGAAATTAGATCTTGGTTTTATATTGGACAACTCTGGCAGTGTTGGACAACGTAACTTTGAACGAATGAAATCATTTGTTAAAGATCTTACAGACTTCTACAAGCTAGGCCCAGAAGAGACACGAGTTTCGGTAATGTCATATTCACACTCCGCAAACATTCATATTGCGTTCTCGGCATATTTTTCGGATAAAACGCGATTTGATTCGGCCGTGGATAGAATTTCGTATACTGGTGGAGGGACTGCAACGGCAATGGCTTTAAACAAGGCATACAACTATATGTTTACATCACATTATGGAGCGAGAGGTTCAGGTAAGGATCTTGCCTGCTTGGCTGACGGCGGGTCACTCGAAAAGCAGGCGAGGCTAAGGAAATGAAAGTGTTTTGCCCACTGATTAAATAGTGTCTCGCAAGTAGGCCGCCTGCCACGTGGACAAGTAAGGATCTGGTCATACAAGTATGCCCGGGCAAAGCCTTATTTTAGCTATATAAGTTTCGTTTACGGTAAACGTGCTTCAAACGTCAGTGTGTTCTAGCCTTTTCCACAGGCATCTCCATGGTTTTAGCCTGAAATCCCACGGGTGGGATGCCTGCAGAGGAAGCTAAGCGTGTTGTTTATTAGGTATTTACACCCTGTGTAAAAGTGCGTAGTTCAAAATGTGTTCCATTTTTTAGAGTTCAAGAAAGTTTTGGTTATCCTAACAGACGGACGCAGTAACACAGGACAGGTCAGCGGACCAGCTCGAAAATTGAAGAACTCTGGTGTTGTGATATTCAGTGTGGGCATTGGACAAAGTATATCCATGCAGGAATTGCGAGTTATGGCTTCGGATCCAGTTAATCAGCGTGTTATTACATTGGACAACTTCTCTCAGCTAGACAGGCTTGCTGAGCAAATGTCTTCTCAGACTTGTAATGGTAGGTTGTATGCATGGTGGCAATGATGGTGGTGATGATGATGATGATGGTGATGACGATGATGGTGATGATGGTGTGGTAAGTGGTGACAATGACGGAGATAGCAATGGTGGGTGATTATGATGGTGATGGTAGTGACGAGCATGATGCTGATAATGGTGATAATGCTGGTTACTGTTTCGTGGTGGTTGCGATCGAGATTATGGTGGTGCATGTCGATGTTGGCAATGGTGATAATGGTGGTGATGATGGTGGTAACGATGATGGTGGTAACGATGATGGTGGTGACAATGTGGTTATAGTAATGGTGGATGATGGTGATGAAAATACTGAAAAAACTTGTTTTGTTTTTAGCATCCAATTTCCACGTGTTCTGCGACAATGACCACATGACAGCTGTATTCGACCGAGCAGATCTTCCAAAACACGTTAACATTGACCATCTGTATCTCCGAGACCGATACTGTAAGGCTGATTGGAACTCGACTCATGTGATTGTAAAAACTTTGCTGACTGGCTGTGGAACTGTCTTCTCGAAAAACGATCAAACTCTCTTCTTTAGCAACGCTCTTTCTGAAGAAAGTGGCAGCAGCGGACATGGCGTCATTACCAGAGATTATTTGTTCAAAGCAAACTTGACCTGTGCTTATCCTCGAAAACGTACGGTGGGATCTTTCAGTTTTGCTCCGGCGAAACAGAGAGTGTTTGTGAATGTGGGTAAGTGTGTTAATTTAATAATAGTATCATAATCGTACAGTGTGTGAGAACATGTGCCTTTCACATCAAAATTCGATTCCTAGAATGTGGAGTTGTCAGAGTATAATTTCGCCTCAGTCGATTGTGAGATGAGGCCTTTAGTTTGACTTTACCAAACATCGCAGGTTTTCTTCGGGTAGTCCAGTTTCCTCCAGTAGGAACACCAGATCAATACGGAATCTCCTTTCGTGGACCCCTAGGTAGAACAATTTAGAAGTATCGTATATAAATGAAGTTAGTTCAGAACTTCGGGTTTCCTTTTGCAGTAAAGTGGCCGTTACTGAACCTCTACAAAGAACAGCTTAGATAACTGATAGATTTAGTCTATTTTATCACAAGATTGACAGCATCAGGCTGCCGGTTATTCATGTTGGAATAAATATGGTGAGTTGTTTACATCGCTTATAGCAGCTGTTACAGTAAAGCTTGAAAATAGATTCTGATGTACCGGCAATACGAAACTGGAATCTTGACGCTCTAGAATGGCTATAACCTGAGCTTTTGCCATTCGTCTACGATTGATTCGCCAGTTTGAATAATTTAAATACAAATTAATGACCAAACTAACTGTCTTTTTTTGCCAGTTCGTCTTAATGGATTATCCGTCTGGCTGAACTATCTAAACTCAGATAAATTATCAGAAATGACTATCGATATATATTTTCCTTGTCCAAGTTTGTTCAGAATCATCATCCATCTCTAATTTTAAATCGTTTTCTAGCTGGTCAAGGCAATTTCTCTCTTAGAATGGATGTGTTCAAGAGCATAGATTATCGCCAGCCATACGCATCACAAGACTACCCAGTGTTGAAATCTCTGTCAGATAATCTTTACATTCAGTACTCTATCAACACCAGTAACCCGAATCTTGTTGTGCGCGCAGAAACGTGTAGAGCGACGCCCACCAACAGACCTTATGACACTCCACAATACGTCTTTATTGCTGATGGGTAAGCAGAAACAATTGCATTAAGTTTTGACTATAATTTTGAGATACTTTATGAAACGATTGATAAGGAGGTAAGGGCAATTAACCGTATTTGTCATACCACTGAGTCAAAACTGCTTCTGTAAGTTGAGGATAGGTTATCTTTAACTTGATTGGTGACTACCTTCTTCAACCTTCCTTTAAATTGATGTGTTTGAAAACTCATCCACCCCTTACTTTTGGTACACTAGTTTAAGAAGAAATTGATTTATTTGGGCCAAGGGTTCAGTATTAAAAGTAGTCTCGTCTTGATATGTTTTAATTTAATTTTCTACTGACAACTGCTAGCATTTGCCGTGAGATTTTAGTAAGAAATTGTAGATTGCGATCCAAATAGTAAGTCATGTGATGAAAAATCCTTAAGATCTTCAAATCTACGTTATTTACCCTTTCCAAATAAATGTCATTTATTCATTCGTTCGTTTGTTCGTTCGTTCGTTCATTCATTCGTTCATTCAAGATTTGGCTTCGTTGAGTCCTAGAGAATGGAAAATAAATATAACTTTGATAATTTCCACATCTTATTTCAGCTGCGACAAAGATGAAACGATTCGCCATTACTCGTACGGAATGAGTTCTGTCCAGCGTTTTAGTATGCAGGCATTCCGCTTCCTGTCAGAACATCGCTTTGTCTACCTACACTGTGACCTGGTGGTGTGTCATAGGTATGACTACAACTCCACCTGTGCGCGAAGTACTTCATGTTCCAGACGTTATCGTCGTGATGTTGATCAGCAGTCACAAGATGTGTCTGGTATGTATGCACTGTCGTTTGGGCCAATAATGGAAGGGAAGGAATCCGATGACAAGAGTGCTGGGGGTGAGTATCACAGACTCATAATAGTAAGCAGTCCAAGAACAAGGGTATATACGACTTAACAAAATATGACGTGACCAGACTGCTATCAAACCGCGGCCCACATCAATCAAGTTGCGATTTAATCGCAGTTCAATCGCGTCTCAGCTAGTCCATAAAACCATTTCTCTGTTAAGCCTCATACCCTAAAACGTGCCTTAAATATACAAGCACCCGGGAGGTTCAATAAAGAGTTTACATAATTCTAGCTGCGGTCTAACTATAGGTCCAGCTTGCAGTTTAGCTGCAACTTCACAGCAATCACATATATGGACTATGGAGTTTGATAGTTGCAGCTCAAGCGCGATATTGCGGCTTTCAACCATCTATCAAAGTTTCTGTGATCACAGTAGGAATTTTGCATAGGTAAACTAAGTCGATCTTCATTTGTAAGTAATGTTTGAGGGAACTAACTCTATGTTTGACAATGAGTTTGTTCCCTCAAACATTTCTTACAAATCATTCAAGACTTAGCCGGAATTTATCCATGCAAAATTCCTACTGTGTTGCCAGAAACTTTGATAGTGTTGCTGCTAAGAGTTTTCCCATGGAATAACGGTTAAGCAACGAGAATGAGAGAGTTGGCGATGAAACACGAAGCTTGAAACCTGAGGAATAACTAACTGCGACCAAATTGCAGCCCAACTGAAGCTATAGCTATTAGAAGCAAAGATGTATTTTCACTGTGATTATATTATGATTTATAAAATAACATGTATATAACGCGTATTCTGATTGGTCGAAAGCCGTGTTTGGATCAGGCCATCCAAACACGGAAGACTACCGTGTTGTTGTTATTTTATAAAACAATTACTTTATGGTTTCCGTGTTTGGATGGACTGATCCAAACACTTGGGAATGTTGCTCGAGTTAAGAAAAGCGGGCAAAATCACTCGCCTTCGGCTCGTGATTTCGCTCGCTTTTCTTAACTCTCGCAACATTCCCGCGTGTTTGGATCAGGCCATCCAAACACGGAAACCATAAAGTAATTGTATAATACTAATTCTCCGCTATCTTTGCCGTTTTACAGCTCATTCGGAAGCATCGAACGCTACGCTGATTGGGTCTTTAATTGGGTTTGGTTGTCTCAGTGTGGTTCTGATTGGTGCCTTGCTCTTCATGTTACAGCGAAGTCGTCGTCGTAGATCTGACCAGACCAAGAATGGTGTCGAGAACAAGGGGGCATTATCAATGCAAAATTTGGGATACACTTGAAGTCTTGAGTTTTTATCGTTTTATAATCCGTCTGATAAGTTTAATGCATGACTACATAACTGCTGATTCGAAAAATAATTAAACACTGTTTAGAAATAATTAGTTTAATCATGGATTGTAAAATAACTGGATTGTGTTTTATTATCCATGGTTTAATTAAAGTGGCACTAGTAGTTTAATCTTTTTACAAGTAAAGTAGGTTTCGAAAATGATTATATTTGATGATGGCACTTTCAATGTTTAATCAAAGTGATTATAAAACTTGATTCACAAAATTGTTCTAAATCAAAACAAAATGTCAAAGTATTGGTGTAATTAGAACGTAGAAAATATTATCAAACAAGTATATATAGCACTTTTGGTGAAAATAGATTTCGTATGTGGGTAATAAAAATTCCAAACGTCTGTGGTATAATTGTAGCAATGATCAGATTTACCAGCAACAGATAAATAGATAGTCTGTCATTGCAGGCTCGGTTCTGACTCGTTCCCAGTCGTCCACTCCTGCGCGCGCTTTCCAATTCGCGCGTGCTCACAGAGACAATTGGGGACGAGTCAGGGCTCTGCCATTTTTCGTATGCTTTATTCTCAAAATAGGTTGAAAAACGTACGGGCATAAGCATATGGGGCTGATGCTTCAGGCCATTTTATGGGCAATTCCCATCCTTGTGTTGTAGTATATTGTACTTGTGCAGCTTTCCCAATTACCCTCCACCCCTCCAATTACCTACCCCCTGTTTTATACGCCTATAAATACGGGTATAAATATTCAATTACTTTATGGTTCCCGTGTTTGGATGGCCTGATCCAAACACACGGGAATGTTGCGAGAGTTAAAATTTCACTTTAAAAAATGCGAGAGTTAAGATTAAAATTTCACTTTAAAAAACTTTCACTTTAATTAAATTTCCGTGTTTGGATGGCGTGGTCCAAGCACGGGTTTCGCCAATCAGAGCACGCGTTATGTACATGTTATTTTATAAGTACATTTACTAAAGAGATTTTGGTCCGTTCGTTCGATAGAGTGAAACTGTTTTGGAATTTTGAAATGTCTAATGCACTTTGTAGACCTAACCTACCCTGGATTCCAGAGCCTTCGACAGTAAATAATAAATTGAAACGTCGCGAAGGCTCTGGTTCAACGGGAAGATTCTTTGATTAAACCGCGCCAATCACAAAACAGAATTAGTGGTTTTAATACAGATTCTGTACTAAAACCACTAATTCTGTTTTGTGATCGGCGCGGTTTAATCAAAGAATCTTTCCGTTGAACCAGAGCTTTCGCGAAATTTCAATTTATTATTTACTGTCGAAGGCTCTGGAATCCAGGGTAGGTCTAACCAGTTGCGAAAAATGCAACTAAAAGTCCTTTGCTAGGAATCGAACTTGTTACCCTACGATTTCGGTGCGGCGCTCTAACCAGCTAAGAGCGGGTTGCTTAGTGGTTAAAACCGCCCATATATTTCTGGCTATTTTCTGCCTTTTTCGCGATCCAGACTGCCGTTAATATTTGAGATCAGTGGCCGCCCAAATATTTTTGCTCAGCGGTATACCAACTTGAAAACACGCGCAGAGAAAATGGCGAAAATTTCAAAAAAAATGGAAAATGAATTGAAAATTTTGAAATAGATTCTATAATAATTTCTTAACTATTTTTATTCCATTGCATGATTTAAGAAGATAAATTTGTTGAGATTAGCCATGGTTCGACCTTCAGAGACGACTCGGGTCAGCAAAGCAGCGAATCAAGACGTAGAAAAGGCTAAAAGCGTACATGCCAAGACGAGAAGATTAGAAATATGTCGTGATGAGCCCACAGGTAGAAATATCAAATAACTTGTTGGTTGTTTTATATAGGCGTTTACAACATTGAGCTGCCCATAATGAAAGGATATTTTGTGTTACATACTATGAACATACTTATACTTTATACAGACTTAATCAGCTAAAGGTATATATAAAATATGCCAGGGTGCATTCCGTGTAAAATTCACGCCGTAGATAATTTGAGGTAGTGTTGCCGTGCACCAAGTGAGGTCAACTTGTGCGCCGGCTGATCGTGGGCACCGTGATTTTTCATTAATAGTTAGTTTTTTAAAATTAAAACTTGCTAAAAAGGCGTGTAATTGATGAACAAGATGTTTTGCTGATGCGCAATGATGAGTGTTGTTACTGTTGTATCACAAGTTATAACCACCATTTAGTAATATTACACTGACCAGGAACACAAGTTTATCGAGTCCCTAAAGAATTATAGAGGCCAATCCAATCACCAGGCGATTATTATTAATACTCAAAGTCTCGGTTAAACATTTGATGATGTGCCATTCGCGCCAACCACCAAAACTCAAAACTTGTGCGCCAACCTCGATGTGATTGTGCGCCAACAATTCAAAACTCACGCCGAAGATCTTCCACAAAACGTGCATGGAATGCACTCTGGAAAATATGGCGTTGCTACCTGTATAATGCTATTAAAAAGATGCTAATAAATATAAAACCAACTAAATATTATCTAATCAGTATGTTCACACGAGACCTGGTCAAAAATCGCAAATTTTTCAATTTATTTCCCTTGCTCTTTCTACAGTGCTTTTGTGAGCTTGCATTTCTAGCACAGCCGAGTCCAGTTTGACATGTATATTTTGTGTTCAGTACATTGATCATGCTCAAATTCATCCCAGTCCGAGGTCCGTAGGTACCAGGGCTGCAAATAACTATCGGACAATGTTCAACTAAATTTGGCAAATGTCCGAGCAAAAGTAAATTGAACAAAAAAAAATTGTCACATTATACATTTTTGTGCTGACTGACAAAATTCGATTGCAAATTCACTCAATTTGCACTTTGCAATGTAGGCATTCTCTTATGGCTATACAAACGTGTGTTGTGACTTATATATCTATCTTGTGACGTATATATGTCCGACCAAATTTAGTGGTGTTGGTTTTTGTCCGATTAAATTCAAGTTATGTCCAACCAAAATTAAAAGTGATCGGACAAATGTCCTGTCAAGTCAAATATTTATTTGCAGCCCTGCGTACTGAAAAAATATTTTCCCGAGGTCTCAGAAGCAGGCCGAGGGACGCTTCTTAGGCCGAGGGAAAATATTTTTAGTACGGACTGACCTAAACGGTAAATAACGTGTTTATTTTTTAATTTAATTGATAGTTCATGGTTATAATGAATTCCGATAAAATTCCAGTTGCAAAGTACATTTGAGATCAGCTGCGTTTGTTACTTTAGTGCAAGCATGGCTGACAAACTGCTAAAACGACATGATAAAAGCTGGATAAAAAGCTTTTAGTTTCATTGCAATAGATGCTTTTCTACTCAACAAGAAAACAGAAGGTAAACAAAGTAAAAATATTTATTTTCCAATTCGTTTTGCAGCATGGACATGCTTGAAAAATACTTTTTGACAGAAAAATACAAGTTTTAGTTGCCGAAAAACAATTTGTTCATCACAACATTTATAAAAACAATTTTGACCAAAATAAGCCCAGGAATCATCTCTAAACTGCCATTTAAGATTTTTTTTTTAAATTTTATGTTTAAAATTTTATGTTTAAAGACAAGTCGAAGAATAATTGAATATAATTTTTTATGTGGAACATTTGAATCAAAACATGTAGCACTGGGCACTGGCCACTGTTTTTCAATGTTTATATTCTGGGTTTTTTTTTGCAGTTTGGTAGGGGAAAAGTACATTTCGGGCTTGGCACTAAGTCTACTGAAGCCAATTCACCATATTTTACTGTTTTTAGTATCGACAAGGTGGATTTTAAACTTTTTGGGTAGTGTTTTGAGTTTGAAAATTGTCTTCACTCCTCGGTTTGTTGCTAAAAAATAACTCTTTTGGACCACAGTCAAAATATTGTAACAGGCTGCTCGCTGCTGCAGCCAATCAGATTGCAGGAAATGGATCATTCCAGAAAACGTCCATACCACCCCCACGTTGGAAATTGGAAGTTAACCCCCTACCCCCTTTGGATGTCCTAATACATTTACTATTATCAGAAACAATTTTGTCTCCCCTCCCCCTCCGGACGGCAGAAATTTCCTCCGTGGGGGGGGGGGGCGTGAATCTTTTGTGGAACGACCCAATCGAAAAATATCACCAGACATACACAAATAAAAAAATAAGATAAAGTAATACTATTTACATATACTGCTGCAGTAAATAAAATGTTATGATTACTATATACACAATGTAAAAATTGAGAAAATCAACAACTTGTTCCAGGTTGATATCAACAGGCGTGAACAAGGTTGTGCGGCCCACTATGAACAGTATTGTCAACATGTTGTTACGCCATTGTTCAATTGGAACAACTTGGAACAACATGGTTGACAACTTGTTCATAGTTGGCCGCACAACATTGTTCACACCTGTCGATATCAACTTGCAACAACCTGTGTGTTTTTAGCTGACAGACAGTGTGTAGTATATTATTATTAATTTATATAAAATTTGATATTACAGAATGATGATAGTGTTTTTAACTGATTATTTACTAGTTGTTATTTATGATTATTTATTAATGATTATTTATTTTTTCGATTTTTTCTTGAATATATACTGTAGATGCTATATTTTTAAAGTTTGGGTCAAGATTATTCCAGATATCAAATGTTTAATTAACATAGTTTGTTCTTTGATAAGTTTCATAGAATTTCTTGTATTACTTCACTATTTGAAATGTAGTAGTTCGCAAAAAATTCAGGTATACTAAGTTCAGCGATGATATCTGAACATGAACAAACTGGTAAGATAATCGTTTAGTTTGCTTAAGTTCAATATATATTTAGGCGCTGAAAAATATGTTCTCAGTATGACCTAAGTGAGAGCTAAATTCCATCATGCTTCAGTCACAGTGTTGCTGTGCCAGATTTCCGGCTACATTATAGTTACGTAAAACAATATTATTATTTTTTTTTTTTTGGGGGGGGGGAGAAATTAGATACAGTAGATAGATAGATAAACTTTATTTAAACACTGATTTCCACGAGGGGCGTGCGAAAAGTATGCAGAAAAGAATTTTAAAACTATTTACAAAATTATATAAGATATATAGTATTATATGAACTAACAAACTAAGGTAGTAATCTATATACAGGTAATATTAACATCTATGTTAATTAGCTATCAGTCAATGTGAGTAGTGATTTTCTTTCGAAAGGAAGAAAAGGATTTGCTCTCTCTTATTTCTTTAGGAATAGAATTCCAAAGGTGTGCTCCGTCATACACGAAACTTTTTTAAATTTCCATATTATTAGTACGTGGTTGTGGTAAACAAAGACTACTTGAAATGTTCCGAAGTTTGTAGTTTGTCACCTCACCCTTATATGTGAAGAGATTACTGAGTGATTTGGGTCCCATTTTATTCAATAATTTGTACATGATTTTTGCTTTACTTTTCTTCCTTTCTGTTTTAAGTGGCTTCCAACCCAATGCTTGCAATGCAACAGAGTGATCTATGTCATTGCTCATATTGTTCATATTCAAAATAATCCGAGCAGCTTTGTTTTGTAGTTTTTGAAGTCTTTTTGATTGCGTTTCTCCAAACACATCCCATACTTCACAGCAGTAATCAAAATATGGGCGAACAATAGCATTATATACAGAAAGAAGTGTTTGCTACATAAGGAGAAAAATGTTCAACGTTTCTTGCTTTTCACGAGTATAGCAGTAGGTACAGTAGATGACAACTGGGCCCTCGCGGAAAATAAAAAAGTGACTTTTTTGCGTTCTGAGCAAGTCTTACCAGCACGCAAGTCTTTCAATATCTTCACTTATATAACAATTTTATTTCATATGCATGTCCAAAACCCATGCATGATCAAGTTTTTAACCCCGTTGATATTTGGGTTATATGGTCGTCAGCAAACGGGGATGTTTCAATAACTGTTTTTATTTTAGACGGAAGAGTATCCAGGGAGGGAAGATGTGAACGAAATGGTACGAAAGTAAGTAACTTGCCATTGTTTTGTAAAATCTCAGTTACAGCACACGCGTCCTTCAATATCTTTATCTATTAACACGTTTTTACTTTATATGTCAGACTCCATGATCAAGTTTTTAACCCTGCTGATATTTGGGATGTTTCAATAACTGTTTTTATTTTAGATCTAAGATTACCCAAGAGATCCAGATGTGGATGAAATGGTACGAAAGTAATAGCTTGCCATTGGTATAAGGTCTCAGGCGCTGATTGTGCAGAAACTTGAAACAAATCATGTCTAACACAATGCTTGGTTAATATCTTTTAGATTAAAAAGACGCATATTTTTTTCTGTCCAAAATCGGATGAAAATTAAGAACAGAAAATTTACGTGTGTAAAAGAGCACATACTTCTTGAATAAATAACATATACATTGCCTCAAACTAATTGTCACCTTTGAATTATCTTTTTTATATTTAGTACATTCCCGGTTGGCTTCTATTTTACGGAACTATAAAAGCGTCACAAGATTGTTTGAGGTATATACATGAATGAGGCATTCACCATTGTAACACTTAAAAAAAGTATTAACTTGGGTTTTTCCATGAAACGAAACGTTTACGGAGCGCTCGAGATTTATTTTGTATTTACAGTATTCTTCAAATTTAAGCGTATTTACTGTACGCAGTCGTTATTTTAATTTTCTTACAGGCGAACATTAGGTTGAAAGGGTTCGACGAGGAAATTGAGGAGGTAATGTATACCTGCAGAACACTGTAAATGGCGATCTGAATATTAACACTGGCTGATAGCTGCAAAGTTCCCGATTCTTTACGCGACGCCATCAGCATTCTCATCTCCGGCTTTATATGTTCAAGAACTAGCTGACCAAATACTGTTTAATTTTGTATTTGTACGCGACAAAGGTAGATATAAATTTCAATTTATTAGTTTGCTCCATCCAAGTCTGCATTTTTTATAACGATGGTGATCCATTATTCTTCAAATTTAGGGGTACTTATACGCAGTCTTTATTTTAATTTTCTTACATGCCTACATTAACCTTACTGCACATTATCAAAAACCTTATCATGTAGCTATTTTCAAATACGTTGAAAAGAGAAGCCATTCACACATAATAATGAATAAATAACATATACATTGCCTCACACTAATTGTCACCTTTGAATTATCTTTTTATATTTATAGTACATTCCCGGTTGACTATTATATTATTTGAGGTATATACATGAATGAGGCATTCACCATTGTAACACTTAAGAAAAGTATTAACTTGGGTTTTTCCATGAAACGAAACATTTACGGAGCGCTCGAGATTTATTTTGTATTTATTTTCTTACAGGCAAACTTTCATTTACAAGAAAGTAGTAAAAAAATTGGTAAGGTAATGTATAACTGCAGAACACTGTAAATGGCGACCTGCATGAATATTAACATTGGCTGATAGCTCAAATTATAAGTTCCCGATTTTTACGCGATTGTCACTTTTGAATTATCTTTTTATATTTGATATGGAACAATTGCCCGTAATTGGCCAGGCTCTTGAAAGGCTTTTTAAAAGCACAACAAAACTGTCGAAGGCATATATACATGAATGAGACATTCACCATTGTAACAATTAAAAAAAGTATTAACTTAGGTTTTTCCATGACACGAGAAGTTTACGGAAAGCGCTCGAGATTTACTTTGTATTTATTGTTCGAATTTAAGCGTATTTACGCGGTCGTTATTTTAATTTTCTTAAAGGCAAACTTCAATTTACAAGTTAGTGGCGAAGAAATTGATAATGTAATGTATTAACTGCAGAACACTGTAAAAGGCGACGTGCATTTAACATTGACTGATAACTCAAAGTTCCCAATTTTTTACTTGACGTCCATCAGCATTCTCATCTCCGGCGTTTATCAGACACAAACCACGGCAGGTTAATTATTCTAGAATACTACCTATACTGGACCACCACGTTTGAGATCTCTTTGTCAGATAGTTCAGACACAAACCACCACGATAATGGACTCCAGCCATTTTACACCAGACTTTAGTCCTTACACTTTTGACTGCCATTATCGCTATCACTACCTCGCGCTGACCTGGTTTGCATGTAAGTGGTTAGTGATTTTCAACTAGTGGTGTTG